AAATCAACAGCGGATGCATACATCTGCTACAGCCAGACTCTAATGTGCAGATATCACGCATTGTTTCTGTAGAGCTCTTCTGCGAACTTCCTGAGTCTGAACTAGTGTAACTATAAGCCATCAACATATCGATGACAATTACTGTTATAACCTATTAACAGCGTAAATAGGCGCCTTTGTGAAAAGAAGGTGTGTTTGTCGGAAAAGGGGTTGGGAGGTGCGAAAAAGGGGGGGGGGGGGGTGTTGTAGTAACATAGCTGGGCTTCTTCTTTATTTCCTCTTTAACCTTTTTTGTGTCAAGGGGGGATATATGATTATGCTTCCTGCTTCTCTGCTCGTCTTAACCATTGCGCTTCTGTAGAGTTTCTCTGCTCGTCTTAACCATTGCGCTTCTGTAGAGTTTCTCTGCTCGTCTTAACCATTGCGCTTCTGTAGAGCTTCTCTGCTCGTCTTAACCATTGCGCTTCTGTAGAGTTTCTCTGCTCGTCTTAACCATTGCGCTTCTGTAGAGTTTCTCTGCTCGTCTTAACCATTGCGCTTCTGTAGAGTTTCTCTGCTCGTCTTAACCATTGCGCTTCTGTAGAGTTTCTCTGCTCGTCTTAACCATTGCGCTTCTGTAGAGTTTCTCTGCTCGTCTTAACCATTGCGCTTCTGTAGAGTTTCTCTGCTCGTCTTAACCATTGCGCTTCTGTAGAGTTTCTCTGCTCGTCTTAACCATTGCGCTTCTGTAGAGTTTCTCTGATATTTTATACCGATCTTGTTTTTTGGGGTCTTCATCGTGCTCTATGTTCTTCTTCTCTTTTAGTGTACGCATTGTTTGGTATAGCTTCACAATGCCTTGTATGGTGTAGCGTCACAATGCATTGTATGGTGTAGCGTTACGATGCATTTTATGGTGTAGCGTCACAATGCATTTTAGGTTATAGCGTTACAATGCATTTTATGGTATAGCGTCACAATGAGTTGTATGGTAAAGCGTCACAATGAGTTGTATGGTATAGCGTCACAATGAGTTGTATGGTATAGCGTCACAATGAGTTGTATGGTATAGCGTCACAATGAGTTGTATGGTATAGCGTCACTATGCATTGTATGGTATAGCGTCACAATGAGTTGTTTTGTATAGAGTCACACTGCATTCTATGGTATAGAGTCACAATGCGTTGTATGGTATAGAGTCACACTGCATTGTATGGTATAGAGTCACACTGCATTGTATGGTATAGAGTCACAATGCATTGTATGGTGTAGCGTCACAATGCATTGCATGGTATAGCGTCACAATGCACTGTATGGTATTGCGTCACAATGCATTCTCTCTCTAAGCCGATAAATCATTTATTTGCTGTCTGAGTGTATATAATGTTCCAGCTGGCATAACTTCACCAATGCACATACAAGTTAGAACAAGTCACTTATTTAAAATATTAAGGATCCATTTTAAGTAAGATGGGGTCAAGACTAAAAATAATGTCTAGGCTTGCTCAGACAACATCAGTCCTTGCCAAGCAGCAAACATTGTGGAGATTCAAAAACATTTTACGCAAAAGTAAGTTCGATTGCTAAGAGCACTAGCTGATAGTACATTTGCATATGGCTGTGAAACGTGGACCTCGAAAGCTAAACTCGAAAGGAATTTACAAGCATTTGAAATGTTTCAGAAAAATTCATGGCATATCACATTTCAAACAAAGAGGTTCGTTATATAATTATACAGCACACTGGCAACTATGAACCTTTAACTTCAGTGAAAAGGCGAAACATGCGATGGTAAAGACATGTAATATGATCTAATGGCCCCTCAAAACAATACTACAGAGCTCAGTAGTGTGAAAGAGGAGAAGAGGCAGACCAAGAAAGACCTGGCTGCAGAACCTGACTGACTGGACAGACCTCAGGCCTGCACTCATGAAGTCCATCGCAACTGACCGCTAAAGTTGGAGAGAGCTGATCAGACAGTCAAAAGAAACTGGTGACCTAACGAAAAGCAGTTCTACTGGATAATGATGATTATGGTGATGATGATGATGAATATAATGTAAAATTAGTTCTTTCACGACCTTTTCTCTAATGACCTCATTTCTGATTGTATCTCAACTGGTCAACCCTGCAGCGTTTTTCATCATCTCATTTCCGTGGTCACTAACGTTTTCGTTCTTGTTTGTTGCGTGCAGCTATGACTGGTACTGGTAGAGTGGGAATGGATGTGCTTTGTATAAAATATCTCTTTGTGCTGATCGGCATTTTCTTATGCTGTAAAAGAGCGACTAGCTGTTACGATACTTGGTTTGCTTTACTGCATCTGAGGTTATTTTCTTAATCCAATTTACCATCTTCGGCGAACATTGTGCCCAGATATTTAAATTCAGATGCCTGTTTAACTGTTTAATATATTTGCTCTCCTCTTCTGTGTTTGGGTTCTTCTTCTTTCTTCATATTGACATGACTTATGTCTTTTCAGTGTTGATATTTGACTACCGGCCTGAAAGTCGTCGATTTCACATAGAGTCGTATTTTTTTCTTTTCAAAACTGACTTTAGTTACCAGGTCGTCCCGGAAAATGGGTACTAGGAAACTCCATTGGATCTAAGGGTGCCCAGTGTGATGTTGAGCTCATCAGCTATCGAGTGCCGATTCTAGCGTGACATTCTAGATGCGCTAAAAAAGGGTTTTTCTTTTTTTTTTTTCTTTGACCTATAACCAGACGAGTGGAACAGAATACTATTCTCAGTAAAATAACTACTACTACTTATTCTTTCTATACAATATATGCACGGCGAGAAATGGACCACAGTGTCGTCAAGCAAAACCGCCTCGTACACAGTGATACTTATTATAGACATAGGATGCGGGGAATGGATAGCTAGTGAAGCAGAGTCGAAGGTGAAGGAAATGATCAGTGAGAACTCCCGCACATGTGACATCATTATTATATACACAGATAGGTCCGCAGTGAGAGGTGTTAGTGTGGTTTTAGTGCAAAGACGAATGGGCACTGAAAATATAGAGCTCGCGAACAGCGTCCCTACATCCAGTATGATAATGGAGTTGGAGGCAATAACGGCAGCATTCTATGGCTTAAGAGCAGTACAGTCCGATGTGTGGTAATTGTAACGAACTCATAGAGCGTGCTTCGGAAAATTAAACTGGCCCCCGACACCAATATACCTTGACGAGACTCAGCTCAGAAGTATATCACGGATTTTCTGTCCAGGACGTTTCGGTGTGCGAGGTAACGAGCAGGCTGGAAGATTAACTGCTATCGCTTCAATTCCACTTCCTTTTCAGAAAAAAAAAAACTCAACTACGTTCAATCTGCTGCTAGCTAGCCGAAGCTGCCAACAGTCTCCGGTTATATTTATGGTCTTGATTGTTTGAACTATTTTCGTGGCTGAAGTTCTGGTATTTGCGCTGTCTCTGGACTTAATGCTTCTTTCCTACAAGTCAGACCGCCCATTCCCTATCCTGTTGTCAACTGTGTTTTTCTTTCCCTTTCATTTCTAATGTTTCCTCCTTGGTTTCAGCTCCTTCTGATTTGGCCAGGCGTATTTTGTAGGAAAGCAAGCTTCTGAACATAATGAGCTTTGGACCACCAATTATAGTTTTAAATTTTAAGTATTTCACTTTGCCGAAAAGTACTGAAAACAGTTTCTGGGTTAGGATAGACCCGAAATGTGAAAATATTTCGCGTGTGACCATAATGGTCTCATAGTTGTCTTCCTGCAAAAGTACGGGTTAATACTGTCATGGAGATGTGTGTGAAATGTTAGGTGGAGTCTCACAATAATTATTTTCGTTAATTATTAAAGTGTGGTCCGATTATGTCTTTTTGGGTTAGTAGCTAGGCTCCGGCGTACGTAAATACCAGATCCTTAAATACGCAACACGTCATAAGTCTTTACCATCGTACCAATCCAGGGGGAAAGGGGAGGGGCTGAAATAGGTGGTAAGGTGCTCTGGTCCTGTCAGTATCGATCCATTTGTCTTCCCTATTTGCTGTCAGTCTTATCCTATTGTGAGTCCCACCAGTCATGTTTATGTTAGATGCATGATGTGGAATTAGATGATTATAAGTATAATGGAGTAAATGGATGTACACCATCAAGTGTATGCTAACATGCACCCGAGCATCCATACACAACATTACATGTTTGCACACCTTTTCACACATATCCATGCATGCATAACAATATGGATACAAACCTATTTGACATTTCCTACACTTGCGTTCTCTTTCTTACCTGCCTATCAATGCAATCATTTCAACACTTACATTCATATAAGCATGTTCTTACACCTCCACATTAATTCACATGTCTGCATCGACGTCCGTTATAAGTGGGTTTGGTTCACTTATCGATAGGAAAGAGGGGATATATGAGCGAAAGGCATATATGAACGACTATATAGATGTATAACTGTGCGAGTAAAAAGAAAGGTATGGGTAAGAACTACAAGTAGGATATATTGTGATCTGGGCAGTGTTCTACACGGTCGAAGGCTATTTGAGATCAAACTGACAGTACAGTAGCGCAGACACAGAATCCACACACTGAAAGATCAATTCAACGGGGGTAAGAAGAAGTTATGGGAGGTATTCAACATTAAAAGAAAAGCATAGGCAGACTTTTATTTTTATTACTGGTACTAATATTATATCTACTCTCTGGTGGCTGCTTAAGAAGGGGACAGAGCACGTCTGGAAATGTTTCAAGTTAAGTGGTGTCATTTTTAAAATGATTTATTGATTGATTCATGCATTAATTTATTCAGTACGTTTACCATATGCGTATTGGGCAAGAGATGATGGAATTCCACTGAGCCAAATTCGTGCTAAAGACTGCGTCATGAACTTGCTGACTGATGAAGATAAACTATCGTGTCCTGATATTTGATTTAACGAAGGGCTCAGTTTAATGTTTCGTAACCGATCATAGAATGCGAGAGACATATGCTACATTATTAGACACAGTAATTAAGATACAATGACGATGACGGAG